AACTTTTAATGTTTTTCGTTAGAATATAAAACAACACAATAAAACGTTTTCATTTCCCTTTCATTTTTATAGGCATAACTAGTGAACCGTAGGAGCTATAAATAAAAATGCATGTAGAATGTTCACGTCTGCAAGCCAGTAATGAGGTACTAACCGAAATATGATTCGAACATAAGCAATGCGTTTACAAGCCAAGCACAATAAAGTATCAGCCAACGTACAGTTTATTGTTGTAGTAAGTTAGTATATACAGACTTGTATTACGGAGATTAACTTTAACAGCACAAGATCTGTGGCATGGGAAGGTTTTACGGGCCGTCTTTTTATAGTTGATTCATGGATTGCACACGAGGAGAAGCAAGGAGAATTATGGCAAGAAGTATGAGGCAGTGGTTGCAGCTGCATTCTGGTAGAGAGTGTTCCTATTATAACCCTTACACCCCTTACAATCCTTATTTCAGTCGGAGGACTCGTCCAAATCCACTGTGAATTCTGTTAAGAAATGCCTGGTCTAAAAATGCGGGAAATATATTAAGAAAGTAGGTTTCATGAGTATAATTTTGGGAACTGTTGGAGTGTAGTTTTTTAGATAAGTACCAAGATACCAGAGGAACTTTCTACCTCCATCTTCAGGGTAGAAGAGTGATGGAGGAAGTAGGTTCCTGCGAAACGTTGGTGCCTGTGTACCAATTACAGGACATCATTTCCCATGAGACCATTCAACCCGATCTCCTCTTTGTGTCGTGTATTTAATTGTAACTGTCCACATTGAATAAGAGGTATCGTCTCACTATTACAGTCCTTCGTTCAGTAGAAATGCACGGTAGTAAATAGAAGTACTACGTACATAGCATTAATGCTTACTGTCGCAAGGTACTTCCTTTTAGTCGCAGTAATGTCATCTCATTATTCTCAATGGTATTAAGATTCTGAGATATAATTCATAATCAGCTAACTAATTCCATGGAGCTTCAGAAGCTGTGAGTCGCTCAGCCGCTCAAGAATTTCCCAAAATTTTATGAAATCAGAAAGTTCATTACCACGTTCACAAGTCTCCTCCACTGGGTCCCTCTCTTAATTCAGACCAATCCAGTCCATGCCGCTCCATCCTGCTTCTCTAAGTCTTATACAGACGTATAACATGTGAGTATGTAACAGTAGTAACCTAAAAACAAACTCCATGGCCTGTAGTCCGCAAGCCAACTATACCGACCGAGCGACCGCCGCTTGTTGGCGAAGTTAGTGCCAGCGTTTTGCGGATAGAGGGTGTAGCGTGGTCAGCGCAACGGATCCCCACGGTAGTTAATCTCGGTTTTCTAGACCGGAGTCACTATTTCCTTGAAACAGCTCCTCAATTATCCTCACGAGGCTGAGTGGACCCCGTTCCAGACCCACTATTTCTCAGAAAATCTGTTAGTGTCAGGAATAGAACCCGGGACTTCTGGATCTGTAGCCAGGAACTCTGACCAATAGGCCACAGAGGCGGTCATAACATAACGAAAATTTGATACAACAAACGTGAACGTTATTTTTTTGCTGTTATCTTCTTCCCACGAATAGTAGTATTCCCAGTTTTGCCGAAGTGGTCACAAAAGGCGCGTGTTAGCAATTTAGATGTCTTTAAATGCACTGGTCTCATTTCCAGAGTATAAGTCATTGGTCTCTATATTAAATAAAATCCTAATGATGCTGCGTGATATATCATATTAAGCAGTGGTCTGCAGGCTCTAGTTGCTGGGGGGATTATTCTGCCGGTAGGCGGATCTGCCTACAATAGTGTTTCTGTCGTCAACTCTTACCGTTTATATAACAAATGCTCACGCAGAGAAACTCCTTAAGATCTGGATTTGGTACTTTTTCGCTAATGGATGCTACGAAAACGATAATAAAAGTGACTGCGTTGTGAGTTCGGGAGCTTCGGTTTATTAGATGATAATAACTCCCTGGTTTTAGTCCGCAAGCGAATTATACCGATCGAGCGACCGCCGCTTGTCGGCTAAGTTAGTGCCAACTTTAGCGGATAGAGGGTGTCGCGTGGTCAGCGCAACGAATCCCCACGGTCGTTAGTTTCGGTTTTCTAATAGAGACTAAAAATAATAATTATAAAGAAAGAACATAGCTAACTTTCTACACAGGGTTACGATTTCGCTTATGACGTTGTTCCTCTGTAATATAACAACGTTAAGATTTTATTGAAATTAATATTTTAATCAGGGTCTTAGCAAAAAATAACTCCATGTGACAGAATCCTTCTTAAGAAGCTACCAGTCGCCACGTTATTCAAGAATTTCCTAATATTTTATGGGACCCAAATGTTGTCGTGTTCACAAGAGCCCTCCACTGGTCCCTATTCCAAATTAATCCTGTCCATAAACCCCAACCTATTTCTCTAAGATCCATTTTAATATTAGCCTCCAATCTATTTCTAGGTCTTCTAGAGTTCCCGTTCCTCCTGGTTTTTCCCACCAAACCCCTATATGAAGTCCTCTCCCACACATGCTAAATGCCCTATAAATCACAATCACAGGGTAAAAGTTCGGAAGCTCCCCATTGTGCATTATTCTCCAGCCTCCTGTTATTTTATCCGTCTAAGGTCTAAATATTCCCCTGAGCACCCTGTTTACAAATGCCCTCAACGTATGTTCTTTCCTTAATGTCAGACACCAAGTTTCACATCCGTACAAAATTACGGGGGTTATAGCATAGCCCAACACAATTCACCAATTAATTATCGTAACTGTTTTCAAATTTCACAGCAAGAGCGCCATTAAGTACACTTGCCACCGTATTTATTTTCTGTTTCTTTTAACGACGCTGCCAATTTCTCGGAACATATGGCGTCGAATGAACAAATGACGGTGAATATCTAATTGGATAGATGGCCGTAGCCTCATTTAAGACACTACCCCTTATTGGCCTTGACGGATTGAGGATAAGGCCGAAAATCCTGAGACAAGTTTAACCGACACCTCGGCAGAAATTCGAATCACGCACCTCTAGGATATGTCAGAAGCGCTACCACTTGAGTGCATTTGAGCCAGCTTCCTCGGTGTTACGCCTATTGTAATGGGAGTTTGTTATATGTTTTGAATGAAATGTGTGAAATGGTATGCTGTATGAAACAGTAAGAAAAAAATGTATTTAGAAATATCTCTATTGTAAAATGACACCAGGAGAAGAAAATGCAAAAGTTTACAAGATTGAACGTTACAGAGATTTTTTAATCACTTGGCTGGTCTCATAACACGTGTCTAATAGTGTTTGATAGTGATAATGTGATAATTCTAAACAGGAATTCAGGCCAAAATAACTCTCGAAATTTATATAAGCTTCTCTCCATTGGAAATTTTTTGTTGCCCTTGCAGAACAAGAGCTCCTATTAACTATTTGGGGGTAACGTCCGAATACAAAAACTGTCATTAGATACGATCCTGAGGCAGTTTCACCCTTCTCAGACCTTCGAAACCTCTTCCCTCCCTGACAGACTACTTGAAGTCTTAAAGAGATGTTTCTGCCACAAGTACACTTGTACGCATTTCGTGACTCCTTAGCTAAACCAATCTAACGATACTAGGTGACCTGTATAAATCACAAAGTTCATCATTATGCAATAGCTTAAAATGTCCACTTACTTCATTCTTGTTAGATCCTAATATTTTACTGGGCAGTTTGAATTTCGTTATTCACAGATTTCGAAGGAGACTACACTTTACATTCGAAAAACAGCTCATAAAGCAATATATATATATACACACACACACACACCCACACAATGTATATCTTAGTTGCATTGAAGAATACGATAATTGTTACATTTCCGTAACTGAATAGCACTTTGTACAAATCATTCTCCTGTAAATTTCGCCACATTCCACGTTCCCGCGTTTTTTAGTGGGGGGAAGACAACCACTCAGTTGTGCCACTTAGAAAAAGTTAATCTCAATAGCTCTCCCTCACCTGATGAAGGAAACAGATCCAGTTTCCGAAACGTTGTGTTTTCTGTATTCTATATTACCGAACGATGGAAAACGTAAAAAAAAAAAAAAAAAAAAAAAAAAAAAAAAAAAAAAAAAAAAAAAAAAAAAAAAAAAAAAAAAAAAAAAAAAAAAAAAAAAAAAAAAAAAAAAAAAAAAAAAAAAAAAAAAAAAAAAAAAAAAAAAAAAAAAAAAAAAAAAAAAAAAAAAAAAAAAAAAAAAAAAAAAAAAAAAAAAAAAAAAAAAAAAAAAAAAAAAAAAAAAAAAAAAAAAAAAAAAAAAAAAAAAAAAAAAAAAAAAAAAAAAAAAAAAAAAAAAAAAAAAAAAAAAAAAAAAAAAAAAAAAAAAAAAAAAAAAAAAAAAAAAAAAAAAAAAAAAAAAAAAAAAAAAAAAAAAAAAAAAAAAAAAAAAAAAAAAAAAAAAAAAAAAAAAAAAAAAAAAAAAAAAAAAAAAAAAAAAAAAAAAAAAAAAAAAAAAAAAAAAAAAAAAAAAAAAAAAAAAAAAAAAAAAAAAAAAAAAAAAAAAAAAAAAAAAAAAAAAAAAAAAAAAAAAAAAAAAAAAAAAAAAAAAAAAAAAAAAAAAAAAAAAAAAAAAAAAAAAAAAAAAAAAAAAAAAAAAAAAAAAAAAAAAAAAAAAAAAAAAAAAAAAAAAAAAAAAAAAAAAAAAAAAAAAAAAAAAAAAAAAAAAAAAAAAAAAAAAAAAAAAAAAAAAAAAAAAAAAAAAAAAAAAAAAAAAAAAAAAAAAAAAAAAAAAAAAAAAAAAAAAAAAAAAAAAAAAAAAAAAAAAAAAAAAAAAAAAAAAAAAAAAAAAAAAAAAAAAAAAAAAAAAAAAAAAAAAAAAAAAAAAAAAAAAAAAAAAAAAAAAAAAAAAAAAAAAAAAAAAAAAAAAAAAAAAAAAAAAAAAAAAAAAAAAAAAAAAAAAAAAAAAAAAGCAGAACAGTAATTCTAGATGTTGGGAACCAAGTGTTGGTGACACTGTAGCAAATGGTAGCTAACGTATCTAATATGTTGGTTGCACTGGTGCATGATATCTAGATGACTGGTGTAGTGTGTGTTATGAATCAGCTGTTAATGTTGATAATTTGTTTTTGAGACTTCAAATTTTGTCCGTCTAATGTAAGGCAACACTCGCCTTACATTACACGAAATATGTGCCGATTATCATGTTCAAGTGTAATTTCCAATTGGAGATTATGGATAAGACCTGCTGTAATGACGGTTTATGCTTTAGTAATTGTAGTACTTTTACCGATACTAATAGTCAATGCCGTAAATAATGGTTTTACGAAAAATGACCAAGGCTCATTAATAGGAGGAGTTTTCGTTATGATGGCTTTGCCGATATCGTTTTGGGAAATAACACAGCATATGGTTCATTATACAAAACCATCTCTCCAGAAACACATTATTAGGTAAGGCATTGTGAAACGTAAGCCTAATTTTCCCGAAGATGGTTCAGCCAGTTTTCAACTTTCTGTACCCTGTGTATCCACGTCCACCAAAAGTTTGTCAGTTTGTTGAAAACTTATTGGAGGCGGCCGTTAGAAATTCGGAAAAGGAGGTGGGAAAAGATAACATCAGGATGGATCTTAGAATAATGATTGTGGAATGGGATGTGGATGGAACTGACTCAAGATCATATCCATTGTTGTTATTCGGTATTACTACAATGTTATCTACTGTCAGATTAGGTATCAAAACATTTCACCATAGATTATTTGCATTTTGCAGCCTGCAGTAGGAAAAGTACAGATCAAAGAGTAGGCTTGATATCACACCAACTCACGTTCTTAAGTTGTAGATAATTTTCAGGATGAATAGAACGAAACGTGGGTTTTCTTTCATACAAACTTAATTTTGAGTCTCAAAAAAGTTTGGCATTATCTCCTGTCTGAGTTATGTCTAATGTACCTGTATAACATTTTGAGAGTTAAGTTTCAGGTAACTGGTTGTCATATTTTTTGTTTGTAATATAAGCAACAACAATTTGAAGTGAGCCCAGTCTCTTTAAATATTATTGTAAATGAAAATGCCGAAATAAATAAATCTGTTGGTATTACCATCAGTCACACGAAGATGGAAGTAGAATCTGCTTTTGAAATGTCATAGGTATTAAATATGTTTCACAAGACAATAGACTTTTCTAACATATATGTGTGTGAAATATTCAATATTTGAACACAATCATTTATGAAAAAGGTGGTCAAAGTAGAGGTGTTTGAAGAAGTTTGCAACAATTTGCATGGTTCATACTTCAGTGAAGAACACATGTAAAATATAGTTTCATTCTGTTACTGCATAAGTGGACAGAGTTACACAGTATGTTGTTATAAACCAAAAGCAAAACATTGGATTTATTAATCAAAATTTTATGTGATTTTCCTCTCTCCTCCATTTGCACTACAAGTCTGGCTCATTTCAGTTTCTTTTTGGTTTCACTGTCATAATAATACTACTTGAATTGTATGAATCATAAGGTGTCTTGTTGTATAATATTCTGAAATGCCCAGTTGTGCCATCTTTCTTAGATTGTGATTTATTTCCTGAGCAGTATTTTGAAAACTTTGTAATGTATATCCTTCCATTGAAGTGAGAGATTTCATTGTGCAACCATATAAAACTGACAGAATTTTTTTATATATTATCTATATTAGTAATTCTGAATTCGGTACTGATATTCATTTTCTTAATTTGTTCTTCTGATTTCAACATGAATTTTGTGTCTGTCTGATATTATTCTTCTCCAGATACTCAAAATTTGGAAATATTTTTCAATTATTTATTACATTACGACTTTGTAACATATTTTGGTCCTGTATCATTGTAACTCTAAAAGAAAATAATCCTATTTTTAATGCTTAGTAAGGTTATCTGCCTTGTTATGAGTTTGACAGAAGTACTTAGCATTTCCACATTATGCCATATGGGAGAATGATTTCCATTCAGACCCAGAAGTATAACTGTAGGAAAAATGAAGGAATGCCATGTGGTAGATTTCATAAAGTTCATATGTTTTTTTGTTTCAGGATATTGTGGATGGTCCCAATCTATGCTGTAAATGCTGTAAGTACAGCTATTGTTTTTACTGATGTCACATCCTTTATTACTGTGACCCAATTTTATGCACTTGTGTTTTGCAGTGATAACCCCTACCTTCTGACGAACTGGCATTGTAGCAGGTCTGTATCAGTGAATGTTCAGTTTTCCTGTACTAAATCATTATTTTATTATTGCCCCATACTCACCTATCACTGCCTCTGAGGCGTGTGATAGTCCCAACCAGGCATTACATTATAATCTCTTCTGTCCTTAAATTTGGAGTTTCATCTGTGAACCAGCATGTGGCTGTTTACAGAATTAGCAACTTTTTTTGTATCTAGCATGATACATGTAAGGTATGTTATTTTTCGTAATGCATGTAAGTGATCATGTAAAGGAATTATGTATCAAAAAATGGCAGTGGTCACTATATTTTAATGAACACTCTGATATCAAATGTCATCACAGTGTATACAGTGGTTCTTGAATTAACACATGCAGGACAGAGACAGTTGGACAGATGTGACCTGTTCCATAAGCATTAAGTTTGAGTAACAAATGCATAGTAATCTACAGTGCAACCAAGTAGATGTTTACAAGCCATTCCCTGGGCTATCCTGTACAAACTAACAATGTAGATCTTGCAAAGGTAAAGTTTTCTATATGGTTAATTAAGCATTACACGGTGAAGACATGTGAGGAGTGGAGGTATAGCTCAATGTATTTGTAACCTTGGCACTAGGTGGATGTTATTTGTAAGTTTCATATCCATGCTGCTTTATCCCCAGGGAAAGAGTCCCTTAGTACCAGTTATATAGGAGGTTTTGTGAGCCCTAGAACCAGTCTGGACACAGTGGAGAAGAGAAAAATATCTTGTCCCTGCCAGGAATATGCAAGCAGAGTGTATGATATTTCCTTGTTCATATATTTTTATGACAGTGGCTGGGACTGGTTTTTCCTGAGCAGTCTATTTATGTGGACAGCCTGCGAGAATGTTATGAAGCGTATGTCATTTACAACTTTATGGTGTACCTACTCAACTACCTGAATTCAGAACTAACACTTGAAGCTAATCTGGAGATGAAACCCCAAGTGAATCATCTTTTCCCTTTCTGCTGTCTCACTCCATGGGAGATGGGACATGAATTTGTTCATATGTGCAAACACGGCATTCTGCAGTACACTGTTGTACGTCCAGTTACAACATTCATCTCATTGTAAGCATTTGTTCCTTCAATTATTGTTATTTATATTGTTTTTATTATTATCATTTTCATTGCGGTAGTATGTTAGTAATTACATTTCAAGGATATATATTGCAATAAGATTATTTTCATGAAGTGTAAAATATAGGATATTGGTGGGAAAGCCAGAAGGAAGACCAAGATGTGGGTGGGTGGATAATATTAAAATGGATTGTAGAGAATGGTATGGACTGGATTGATCTGGCTCAGGATAGGGACCAGTGAAGGGCTCTTGTGAGCACAGTAATTAACCTTTGGGTTTCATGAAATGTTGGCAAGTTCTTGAGTAACTGCACAACTGGCAGCTTCTCGAGAAGGGTGTCAGCTCCATGAAGTTAGTTTCTTTAGTGTAAAATGTAACTTACACAGTTATTAAAAGTCAAAATTACTTTGCAGCAGTCTCAATATGGAAACTGAGAACATGTGAAATATAAATGTATTATGTTAACCCTGCTCTTGAATATTTGTACCATATGGAAGTGGACTGTGCCATTGACATTTCAGAGGAATGTGCTGCTTCCATCTTCAGAGTGAGAATCTTCAACAGGGTCAGAAACTTTGATCTTGAAAATGGAGGTAGCCTGTTCCTCTGAAACATCAACACAGTCCACTTCCATGCAGTACAAATACTCAGAAGCAGGAACAACATTGACGCTGAACCACTGTGAAAGCCTGAAGTCCCTATTATGAAGATTCAACCCTCTGAATCCAAAACTTAATCTAAATGTTATATAGAAATTCAGTTCCTGCTTTACAGAAAACATTCTCCACCTTCATTAAAATGAAAATTTTCTTAATGAACTCTGTGGGAAGATGTAGAAATTTTCAGTGTTAAAACAAGTGGTGCATATGGCAACCATTGTGCTGTGGTGGTCTAGATCCATAAGGATTTATACTTTTAGTGTGGATATGAGATATGGGCCATATTAAATTTGGATTGACAAAACAGGATGGAAAATAATGCTATTTACTATTGGCTTCATATTTGGCGAATATTAGAAATTATATTTCAAACAGAGCAGAAACAGAAGCTTTATACAATTTAAGGTCTCACGTTGTCGACTATGAAGAGTATCATCTACTAAGATGTGACTCCATTTAATCTGATAGAAGTTTACCACTGTTTTGGAGGACTGTATTGCCTATATCTGTACCGTTTTTCCTGTGCTCGATGTACTGTGCTTGCTTTGCCTGCCCAGCTGACTCTCCAACCCTGAAAATGGGGGTGATACATTCCTTCAAAACATCACTTCTTCCAGATTCCATAGCATCATCCCATAATATTGTACTCTTAAAAATGTATGGAGATTACTGTCTTCCGGGATGTTCTGCTATGTAGTCTGGTGAACATTTTATCAACCTTTCAGGAGAACTGCTACATCCCTCTATACTGATCTATATAGTAGCTGCTACCCTGATGACAGAGGCACAGTTTCCTCTGAATCAGTGGTAAATATCTACTAGACCATACAGCTTAACCCAAAATACAGTGATCTAAGGTCACATCTTAATAGCCAGTGCATAATGATATAATTGAATGTCACTGGCATGTTATGTGCAGAAGGCAGCAAACATAATACCATTATTTTTCATATGGCGTCATGTTGTATCATAAAGTAAAGGTACAGGAGCCTTTGACACAATAACAAAATAAATTAAAATTTTAATAAAATCAGTAAAAAATATCAACAGTTTAATAAATTTTATAATTTCATTCAACCACTACATGTTTCAGTTGCATGAATCATCATTAGGTGGTCTGTAAATAAATAAACTACATTATTACTGAACTGCAGAGTTAAATGGATCCATTTTTACAATGAAAACTGTCATAATAAATTCTTGTATTAAATGATATAACTTTTATTACAATTTAATTTGCATTGTTTTTGTGCTGATGGCTTCAATACCATGAACATAATACAGTCAAATTTTTGTCTGTATACATGAGATTTTCATGTCTTTTTAACACCTATTAATTCTGCGTATGTTTGTGCAGTGTCTGTGAACTGGCAGGTGTGTATGGTGAAGGGGAATTCCATGGAAATGTAGCATTTCCATACATGATTGCCATCAACAACTTTTCTCAGTTCATTGCCATGTATTGCTTGGTGCTGTTCTATCAGGCAAATAAGGATGAATTGAAGCCTATGCAACCAATTGGAAAATTTCTCTGCATCAAAGCAGTTGTATTCTTTTCTTTTTTGTGAGTACAGTCTGTATATATCTAGGATACCTAGCACTGATACACCATCTGCTATGGAAACTGGTGCATCATCATCAGTAACATACACAGTTATGTCAGTTTTAGGATAACTTGATCTATATTCAACATACTTCCCATATTCATATACAGGTGGGAAATTTCTTGGCAGTTATCTGTCAGTTTCCTCTCTCTTACTACAGACCTAATGGAGAATACCCAATTATGACATTTATTCCATACTTTGCCAGTATGTAGTCTAGCTGTGTCTGTTCAAAGGATGCACAAGTATAGTGGTACCATTACAGGGTGAAGTTCGTTGTTCATAATTTTTTTATTAATTGCATTTACTTTAATTCTGTAATTTGTGTATTGTTCCTTCCCAAATTTTAGGCACTACATATTGTGATATTAAATGCCGTGTTTCTGTTGCCAGTATATATAGTAGCCATGGCTATTAAATCAATATGCAAATATTTTATGGAGGTTTTGGATGTCAACACTGGTTTCTCTAGCTAATCTCATTCAGAATCTAGTAAATATGGTGGTTTTACTCTACAAATTTAATTATACACTAATGTACATATTCTTGCACAATACATGCTATGTAATATTTTTTAGTTAACAATTTTTGTTCTGTACCTCTTCATATTTGAAAAAAAATATAAAGAGTGCATGTGGCTCACTGATTCATGTTACAGAACTCTTTGTAAGTCACGTGTTTAATTATTACATTAATACCATGAAATTCTTGTGCATTATCTCTGTCAAAGCAAGTTTCTTTTTAGAGTTTTTAAAATACATTTACTGTTTATAAGAAAGAAACAAAATTGCAACAAGAAGTGGTCTTCGGCTTGAAAGGGACAGAGTAAGGCAATAAAATTATTCCATAGGCCACATCTGGTGTTCTTATCAGCAACAACACTTTCAACAATTCCCTAAGATTCAAAGCTGGAAAAGTTGCAAAGACTGAGAATTCAGGCAGTGTATAGCACTTCCAAAGTATCTTTCGAGAAAGAAAGACAAAAAGTAGATCTATTCCAGAGCCCAAAATTTGATGCTGTTATCACTGATGACTGTTCAGAACAGTTGCTTAAGATTCATAGCTGGAAGAGTCAGTAGAAAACTGAGAATACAGATTACATCTAACCCTGCAGAGGAACATTCCAAAAAGAATGTGATTTCACATTTCAAAGAAATTCCTTCAGAAAAATTTGGAGCTTTATATTTCTTTTTGGGGCAATATTTCAGAAAGAAATGGGATTCTTACTTGAAAGTGAAATGTTGTAGAACATTGTGGAAATCTTTTTAAAATGAAAGCAAGAGAGAAAAGTGTGAAATAAAAAAGTTTAAAAATTAAGAACTTTTTAAATCCTGAAGAAACAGTGCACAGGAACCCACTAAAACATTTAACTCATACTTTGCCTGTTTTTTTAATTTGCAGCCAAGGAGTCTTGATCAACATTCTAGTGTTCACAGGTGTAATATCCTCCACATTTGACACAAGTGACAGTGGCACTATAAAGGACATCTCAAATAAGTTACAAGACTTCTTGATATGTATAGAAATGTTCTTGGCAGCAGTTGCACACCACTACAGCTTTTCATATAAACCATATGTGAACACAACAGCCAGGCAGCAGTCTTGCTGTTCAGCTTTCCTTGCAATGTGGGACATTTCGGATGTGCAGCGTGATATCAAAGAGCATCTTGGTGTAGTAGGAAGTTCTCTTAGCAGGCATATCCGTGGGCGAAGTATGTACCGTTATGCTGGGGGCAGTGCTAATGAAAGTTCTCGTCTTTTGGTTCCTGAACCTGTGCCAGGTCCAGAGGACTTTTATAATAGTGCACCGGCTCGTCTAGGTACCGATGGAGTGCTCAGTTCCTATGACAGTATGGCACAGAGTGAAACAGCTGCAGAAGCTTCTAGTTATCATGAGGGAAAACCAAGACAAGATTCAGTTGGTCCTTGTAGGAAGGATGATGAACCATTAATTGAGTTCAGCCCAGATAATGAAGAACCAAAGCATAATTTGCACTCATATATAGCGTAGTATTTTATTTTTCATCTAAAGTGTAAATAAAATAGATAATGCAGGTAAAAATCAATTCCAAGCACTTGGTTGAATTCAGTGACCAGGAAGAGGCTTTGTGTTTTCAGTGTGATATTTGGAAACACTGTTTTATTTTCTTTCCATACAGTAATGATACAGTATACTTGTTAACATCAAACTCAACATTTTAGTTTATTATTATTATTACAATAAAATAGGGTAAAATGAGTTATTTATGAATGCAGGAAATTACTAATAGTCAGGATATATATTTTTCATAAAGAAATGTTTACCCTACATGCAAAACAATCTGTCATCTCTAAAGGTTTAGGACACAGGTGTGTTAGTAAATTGACATATGTTGACATTTTCCCTGTTTTGTTTTTAGTTACAAGTTATAACATTTCAGAAGCTGTCACTGCTTCTGTCCTCAGTAATAGTGTGAAACCTGCTCTGTCGGATCCCCAGACATGGGATAGAGGTTAGTTTGATATAATGGACCCAGTAGAATAGGTTTCATTCTTTTACTTGATACTGGAAGCAGAGCCAGATTCAAAAATTTGTTTTTAAACCAAAAAATTGACATTCAAAGATGTCCAACATAAGTGTCAATTTAATGTCACATCTCATTTTCTTGATTCTTATAATCAGCTCTTTTCATGTACTGTATAGTATGTACTATATAAAAAGATTGTCAGTGATGCTATGAATTTGAATTTGCTTTTCTTATTACATAACTTCAGTATTGTTCAGTATTATGAAAGTGTGCTTTCTGAATTAACGGAAGTATTTTCAGGGACTCTTTATTGTATTTCAGGATCTTGGGTTATGAAAACAAGGATTTCCCTGCTATTCATTTGTTTATTTGTATGTCTTGATGAGACTTTTCACATTATCTTCTTAATGTGATGGAAATCGTTGACATATGATTAATCTTAATATTATGTTTTTGAATAGCTTGTCTGCACTTCAAAAAAGTAAGAAATACAAAATTTTCTTCTTGGCACATTTACTGGATTTTGATATTACATCTTAATTATGTTATTAAGGTTTTATATAGAATAATATTACAAATTTGTATTGCATACTGAGAGCACTGATGTCTACAATATTCATGCATTTGACACAATTCTTTTTCGTAGTACATTTTTGGTAGTGTCATTGAATAGTGCTTCTGGAAGGGTATAATACTATAGTAAACAATTCGTATTTGTTCAGATCTTGTTTTTTTTTTTTCTGAATGGCCCTGTAAACAAGTTATGTATGGATTTCAGGTTCTCACATCATTGACTATGAAGTGTCTTATGGAATGTTATGCTGTGTAGTTTGATAGAAGTTCTCTGACCTTTTTTAGGACCGTACTGCCTTAATCTTCAGGACTGAAGATATGCTTACTACTTCCCATTGCTTGCTTTGCCTACTCTTAGCCCATGAAGATAGAGGTATGTTTCTCTGAAATGCCATTGAACTTCTAAAAAAACTGCATGGCATCATGCCTTAGAAAGTAGTAATCTTCAGTGTGAGGTTCATATTATAGGCCTATTAATATGAACAATATTTGTGTGTGAAAACTGGATATTTCCTTGTTTGTTCAATTAGAGTGGTGAAGGACTTCTTAATATTGTGATCTCTGTGCCCTTCGTACACCTCATCAAAGACTGAACATGGTCTGCAAAGAGCAACTGCAATTTAAAATGGATTCGGAATCATGATGAGAGCTGTGTAGTTTTTATTTTGTTAAGAGGTGGAGGTTGAGATTGGTGAGCACTGAATCTAGAAATTTGGAATGGGAGGACAATGTCTCATATTTGGAATATTTGGTTCTACCTGTGAGAATAAAATTAAACTGAGTTACACTGTCTTAAGGAGTAAATTAATTCATTTATTGAATTACACTGTACAACAAAATGAATTTTTTTTTCTTAACGTTAAGGAGAAATAAATGACTGAAGTATGAGTGTGATAAATTTCAGTGTAAGCTTAAAAATTGTGCATGATGCACCATTTTGAAGGGGAAGTATCATAGCTTAACATACAACAAACCATATGGTTGTCATTTAGACATGATGTGTAGCTTTTCAATGAATCAGTGCATGATATAACAATCTCCTGACATTTGATATTGTATTTTCCAGCTGCACATGTGCCACTGTCCAGCTGAATCCTTGTGATATATTACACAGTTCTGTATTTTTCAAAGAAAATACAAATGTAGCTATCCAAAGAAAAGGTGGGTGGTAGAATATTTTCAGTAATATTTCTGTAAACCGCCCATAAAAATGCACTGAAATCGCCATTAGTGTTGTACAGTGTTACTTCATTAATATATTTAAAATTGTGGATTGTAATATAAAACTAATATCATTTACAGATTGTTCTGTAAATGATTTAATATTTGTGTAAGTTTATTTTATGATGCTGTCAGTAATTAAGACTATATAGTGTAGAATGGGAGGATTAATGAGTGATGGATTGGAAGGGATGAGGAAGGAACCAGTCATGGCCCACTTTGAGGTACTTTCTTGGCATTTCCTAAAGGGGCTTAAGCAAACCATGAAGACCTTAGGATAATCAGTGTCCCAACCACAATTTGAACTGGGCATCTATTGACTACAAGTTAGAAGTGATGATGCTTTAGTCAGCTTGCTTGTAACTGCCTTTAAGTTCTAAGATGTAAAATTTTAGTTGTCTAAAGAAATTTCTTTCATTAAGAACAAATAGTACTGATTTCACCAACCATGTCATCAGTCACTTTCCAAAGTTCACAGACTTGCTGAACAAGTCATAATCTTTCACCTTTAACAAATATTAAATACCCTTCTTTAGTCAGCAGTGCTGGTCATCAGCTCTAAAACATCTATCTCCTTTCTCCATTATAAAATACTGGTTGGTCCATTGATCACTTACTCAGACACACCTTTTATTTATATCATATATAATGTTACACAAATTGCTCAGTGTTTCATTATGAATAATTTTATACTAATGGAACTAAAACTTTTTCATTTAACATTAATTTATCATCTTCAGCAGCTATTTAATGAAGTCTACTGATATCCTATAGCTTGATGAACATACTTATAGAACATCAGAAACATAATTCTTTGTCTCGCTCACTCACGGGCTGAGCCCTTCTTGAAAAGCTGCCAATTGTGCAGGTACTCGAGAACTTTCCAGCATTTTATGGAACCCGAAGGTTCATTACCGTGTTCACAAGAGCCCTCTACATGTCCCTATCCTGAGCCAGATCAACCCAACCATACCCTCCCATCCTATACCTCTAAGATCCATTTTAATATTGTCTATCCACCTACGTCTTGATCTTCCTAGTGGTCTCTTTCCTTCTGGCTTTCCCACCAATATCCTATATGCATTCTTCTTCTCCTCCCCGTTTGTACTACATGTCCTGCCCATCTCATTCTCCTTGACTTAAACTTCGTCTCAAGTATAATATTAAAGATTATTATAGGTCACATAAATATCTTGTTTATTATAAATATATGCTTTAATTCAGTAAGATCTTTGGTTTCAGGATACTGTACCATTAGTCATTTACATAACAAAAAATACTGTGATAATTATGTTATTAATTTCCTCCCTTGTAAATTTGGGTTTGTGGCCTTGTCTGTATTTTTTAATCAAGATATATATTTTATAAAGCAATATTTTTATGGTCATGCAGTATTTTTAAAAGAATGTATAGTGTGAATACTGCAGGATGTATGGTATATGTAAATAATTGTGAAGATACTCAACAGTTCAAGAATATGTGAATAAAAGATGGAAAAATTATGTAACTACATTAGCAGAGTCCTTAAGAAGCCAGTAGTTGCTCTGCTGGTCAAGAGATTCTGTGCCTCTTTTCAAACGAAAGTTCATTACATGTTCAAAGGAGCCTGACATCAGACTCTGTCCTGAACCAGTTGAATCTACTCCACTTCAAATTTTCTTAAGATTCATTTTCATATTACACTCAACTCTCAATTATCCGGGATAATGGTGGGGATGGAAATCATGATTAATCGAAAACCCGGTTAAGACAAATTTTATTAAAAGTAGTACTGTAATACTGTACCTTCATAATACTATAGGCCTACCTGTATTTAAAAATATTCAACTTCATTTCTGTGTCATCTCATGGCCTGTTTAATACTTTTTTTACATTACACCGAAGTATGAATTAGTTATTTCAATCACAGTGTTCAACAATATCCAGCACTTTTTACGAATATTCACACTTAACACTTAAAAAATTTAATACTGTCGTTTGCTTTTTCGCGGCATTTTCCTTTTTACAGATATCCGTACGAAGCCTACATAATATTAGCTTGTCACTTAATAAACTGTTCTCTTCACTCTCAAGATAGTCTAGTAAGGATTCCAAACGATTAAGAGCAGCACCATGTGATATTTTCTTACTAGCAGCACTGTCCACCTCTTCCTCATTCTCACTTTCTTCCCGCTCTTCT